TAAGACAACGACCTTTTGCACTTATCTCATTATACCGCTTATCATATCGTATCGTGGAGCGTGATTTTATCGTATCGTCAATATCTCGGGAGAAACTGTCTATTCCGTATGGATCGACATTTTTCTAAACCGTTCTAATCAGACCCTTTCGTTTTTATCTAGAATGATGGGAGTGTGTGATTGTCTACATGCTGGTCTATGTTAACAAGTGTGGAATAATTCCACAGCCAATCAGACAGGAGAGATTGGTTGATTTTTTTTCCAACACATATTATTACATGATTGACCATTCTCGAGCCGAGTTCAATCTCTGGCAGGTATTATTTGGTCTCGAGTACCGTCCGTTTTTTTGGATGATAAAACCCTTTTTGCCAATATTTCAAATAGTTGGTGGATCGAGAATCTAACCCAACGAAGAGAACATCGACCACTATGTCAAGTGCACTAGTACAACAAGCAAGAAAACGATGCATTTATTGACGAAATCAAGCAATCAACCAAAAGAGCCTTCGCATTAATAAGCTAATGGCTAAGCAAGCTTGGTTCCTCGAACACTACTCAAGTTGTCGACGTGGTGGAAAAATGGCGAAAATAAACACAAATTTTTTTTAAAAATAAAATAATTATCCAAAATTTTGACCAAATTTATTGTTAAGAAATTGGGTGTGTATTTTTCATGGAGAAATTTCAAAAAAAATAAATTCTCCATTCTTAATTTTGCTGAAATGGTTTCTCATAAATTTGAATAAATAAATAAATAAATAAATACTTTTTTAATTCGTGGTTGTAAAAAAATATAAAAGAAAGAAAAAGAATTTTATTATTTATTATGATTAATGAAATTCCAAGTCAATGTTAGTTTTTGGTACACTACAAAATTAATGAAGATAGTGATTGGAGTATTTTTTATCAATTTAATTAAGACCGAAACTTCGTGAATAATATGATATTTAATGGTTAGGACCATTTATTTTGATTTTTTGACTCGCTATATATCTTTACAATGATATGATATTGACGACTGTAAGTTTAAATATCTCAAAGTTTTGATTGTTTATCGGGTAATTGTAATTAGTTTTATGACTTACGAGTATATTATCAAGCACGTATTGAATGATTCTTTAATTTGAGATTTAATTTCGGAATTTGCTATCGAACACAATTATGACATATGAAATATAAATTTCAAATTGAGTATCAAACATGTCCTTAGTATTTCGTTCTCGAGGATGAAATATCACTGACTTAAATTTACAAATATAGGAATATCCCGTAACTTTTTAAATTTTGTAAACGTCGAGAAAATTATTTCAAATATATATATAATAATAATAATAAAAAGTGTACTGAAATAGAACTAAATGGAAAGTGAATAAAATTGAAGGAAGACTTGAGATTCTAAAGGAGACTGAAATAGAAAATTAAGAAAAATTAACAAAAATTAAAGGATTTAAACTGTATTTTAAAATTAAAAAAACCCCACAAATATTTAAAAGAAAAAGCACGAATATCACATTTTTTTTATTTTTTAATTACATTATTATTATTATTATTATGATCGGTTTTTGAAATGATGCAAAAAAGTTGGAAAAGGAAACCCTAAATCTTGTCAAATGGGCCCCAAGAAAAAGGAAAAAAGATTCACTAAATAAATATTAATAATATTTTATATTTATTAAATTGTTTTCATTATTTGGATGGAAAATTACACAATTTCATGAAATTATTACGAAATTACAAGATAGCAATTACAATAAAGAAAGAACTAAAAATGAAATCATTATAAACCAAGTTTCCTTTCTTTTCATTTTGGTATGGTCAATTATTGTATATTTACTTAAACTAAAAATGATAATACACTTTTGAATCAATCCGTATTTGATTTTACACTTTTGAACATCATTTTTGTACGGTCAAAATTGATTTTGAATCATTGTAAACATATTTAAAAGTAATTTGGTAGATGAAAAAAGTAATTTTAACAATCTCAAAATCACTTTAAATAGTACATTAGTATTTTAGAGATAAGATTAAGAGTGGTATACACATGTATTAGAATCAAAAGAAAAATTCTATTATTTATCTATTTTTTCTTTTGTAAATAGTTAATTTAAATGTCATATAATTATTAAATGATAACTGTACCAACAAACGTCATATAATTATTGGGAAAGATCAGCTTGTTATCCCTAGAATAACTTTTATCCGTTGAGCGACGGCCCTTCCACTCGGCACCGTTGGATCACTAAGGCCGACTTTCGTCCCTGCTCGACAGGTGGGTCCTGCAGTCAAGCTCCCTTTTACTTTTGCACTCAAGGGCCCGTCTCCATCTGACCCGAGGAAACTTTTGCACGCTTCGATTACCTTTTGGGTATCAAACAATCTTATTTATTTTTTATTTTTTGCTAAATATATAGTTTCAAATCCCCTCGTTTTTTTTTCCCTTTAAAACAACATTATTATTCTAATCGATTAAAAAATTCCTACCAACAACAAGAACCAAAACATTATTCTTCTAATTGATCCCAAAATTCCCAACAACACCAATAACCAAAACTTGTCCCGTAATTTTGAAGCAAAAGTGGTGTTGAAATCACCAAGTACAAAAAAAAAAAAAAAAGAAAGAAGAAAGCTTGCTTTGATAATAAGCAAAGTGCATGGGAAGTTGTGAAGTTGTGACTTCTACGTACGCGTGTGGGTTTGTGTGGTCCATGCACACACGTGTGCCTATCCATGGAAGAATATGCATAGCTCAACTAAATAAGTTGCATATTTAAAACTAACCATCAAAATTTAAGCAAGGAATCACATTAAAGGAGAATTAATGGAAGAATTTCAATTTACATTTCTCTCTACCTAGCTAGATGTCACCATGATAATGATACACAACGATCATAATCAATGTAGCATAAAGAGAGCTTCCAAAGAAGAGAAAAGAAGAGAAAAAAGAAAAGGAAAGTTAGAACAATAGTTAAATTAGAAATTTAGTCTCGAACTTTCAGCTGTATATCTACTTCATCTCTAAACTTTAAAAGACGTTCAATTCTACACGATTCTTAAAAACTTTCAACAGGAAAGCAACACATAGTTTTTTAAAATTTTCAAATTTGTTTGACACAAAATTAAAATTATACGAACCGATTACATACGATGGGGCTGCCATGAACGGGTTTGATTTGAGAATGATAGCAGTTTTTGCCTTCCAACTTTTGCAGAGAGGGAATCTCAAATTACAAAAAAAAAAAAAAAAAAAAGAGAAAGGAATCAGAGCCCCAACACCCCAAATTTTCTAAGCTTCGGAATTTGTGCTCTTACTTCCTAAAAGTTGCTACCTGTTTTTTTTATTGGTGTTGAATTCTAGGTACACCAAATTTCTTATATTCTAAAATTTCCGTACTGTTCTTCAATTATTTTCAGCATTTGGCAATATAAAATAAAATTATATAGCCTACTATATAATTATACAATTACATCATTTTATCCATGAGATACTAAAATGCAATAATTAAAACAAACTGAACTAATTAATTTTTAGTTTTTAAAAATTGTTTTATTTAATTTTATAAATAAGAATACAAAGAACAAATATAACTAAAAAAACCCTTTTCAATAGAATTAAAAGTGTATTTTGGAAATTGCTTAAAAACATTATTTTAGCCCTTTAAAACAATTAAGAGTACTATTTGTTTGACCCAATACAAGTATGGGAGAAATAGGGTACGATTGAGCAGAGGGAGGGACAAAAAATAGTGGGAAAAAGAGTAGGTAGCTTAGCTTAGCTATCCTAAATAATTGAACAATACTAGCCATTGCTTCTGTATTATCCTTTTTTTTTTTTTAATCAATAAAAATAAAATACATTATTCATATTTTTAATTAGTTTTTAAAATTTATATTATATCTATCCATGTACTTATAATAATAGAGAGAAACACATGGCAGTCAGAGATGAAGTCAGAGAAAGTGGAGAATCAGAGCACTAAAAATGACTGAACATAGGTAGTGAGGACAAGAAAAAGCGATTTTTTTTTTTTTTTGATAAATGAAAATCAATTTTTACATGGCCTTGCTTTTATAATGTACTTCAACTGAAAAAGCTATCATTTTCCCTAATTAAAAATAAATAAATAAATCAAATCTAACCTTGTCATGTATTTTAATTCTTTCTAGAGTTTCAATAAAAAAAAAGAGCGATAATATTAAAACATCTAACCTTTTATACCAGAAATTAGTAGACATTTCTGATAGTTGTTTTTTCTTACCACAAAAACAAGAACTAGTTAATCCTTCGCGCACCCACCAAACAATGCACAACTAAAAGTTCAAGAAACTATTAGACATTTTAAAAGTTAAAAGTGTTAAAAGTTAAAAGAACCTTTTAAACACGTAAATTTAAAATTTAGGACTTATTAGACACAAATTTGAAAGTTCAAACGACCAAAATTTCTAGCTTTTAACCCATAAACAAGAAAATAGTGACAAAATCCCTTCAGTAAACAACAGACAAAAGCTCTTATTAATGGACAATTTGGAAACGCCAAAAGATAAGTGGAAATAGTGAAAGGAGTGTGTAGGGAGGGAGTGTGCGTGTACCTGGTGGAGAAGCAAGAGACAGGCAGATATGCAAAAGGAAAAAGCTGAGAGTAATGGGGCAGGGCGGGGCAGGGCAGGGCAGGGCAGCACAGTGTAGGTGAATGGATGTGGAATCTTTACAATAGCGCCCTGTTGCAGCCTGCAGGCAGATAGATAAATCAAATAGAAAAAATGGCAGACAATGTGAGAAATCATATCAGTCTCATCTGTCGCAGTAGCAATGCCTCTGCCAATGACCACAGAAAACTTCAATTATTTCTCTTTTCAAACTTGTACCCAATCGCCTGCTTGCTTCCCCCAACAAAAGCTGCTGCTGCTGCTGCATTGTTTTTCTCCGAGTGCCTCACTCATGAACGCTTGCTAAATACTTAAGCCTCCAGGTAGAGTGTACCTACAGTACCTTCTCCTCCTTCACTTCACCGACAATCAAAATCAAAGGGTCCAAAATTTCATTGTCGTCATTCTATCTCCTCCTTTTTTTACTGTTCTTATTGTGTCCATGCCCTGCGATAAAAAAAAAGGATCAAACTACAATAAGAGTGAAACTTTAAAAGAAAACTTGAAATATAACTTTGGAAATTGAGAAAAAAGGGTGGTGAACAATTACATGAAAAGCACAGTAAGATATACATACAAAATCCAAATAACTTCTTTTTAAAATTGTTTTACAAAACAAAATTAAAAAAAACTACAGTAAAAAACAAAGTATTCGTTTTGTCTGTGTGTATATATAAAAGAAGAGAAAACTGTCATTTTTATCGTTCAAACCAGAAGCCAAGCAATGAGAAATAATCCAATTTTCATGTAAGCCGAAAAGTTATAAGTAAACTACCAAAAGAGAAAAAAAAAAAAAAATCCATCCTCACAGAACAATCATTGAGCTTCTTTTTCAAATTTTCATACCCATTTGTGGTTTTTTAATTTTTGTTAAGAAAAATAAAATTATCCCCTCACAAATCTTTGGTTGAATATACCTTTTAAAGACATCCAATCCCAGCCAAGTAAAAAAATACACACACAAAAAAAAAAAAATTGTGAAAATCTTTCCATATTTGAAAATTGGGTAATAACTTGTTTTCAATCAAATGAGCCACATTTTATAGTGAAACTATTTTGTAATTAAACGACTCCTGTCAATAAGGGCAAGAACTAAACTTAATATTATTATTTTAGCAACTGGTCTCAATAATCTTCACCAAGAAGAGAGAGAATTACCTGTCTTGATTGAGAAGCAGGCAGATACGCTTTTAGCAAACCAGGGCCCGCACGTCAATCTGCCAGCGCAAAGAGAGCAATGATGATGCATGCGTGACCCACCATTTCAACATTCTGTGAGTAATATTTGACAGTGTTGGGTGCCCATTTTGCTGTCATATATAGGAAGAATCCAATCATAGTTGTCATCATTGCACCCTGTAAATGTATTGTCACCAACCTGAAAGAGGAAAAAAGGTGATGGAGGAGAGTAAAGAGATGAAGCAACAGCTGAAGAAAAATTTGTGGAAACCAGAAGAAGATTTGATCCTCAGAAACTATGTGGAAACTCATGGCGAAGGGAATTGGGCAACTGTCTCCCAGGAATCAGGTAAGAAATTTGGCTACAAAAATGTCTAATAACCAATATAAAATGTGCCAGTCATTTCTATATCCGCTACTATATTCATCTTTCTCAGAACTCTATAGCACGATGGATGGATCTTTTAAAAATGTTACACATATATCAGGAATTAGAGTTTTCATTCATGTGTGAGTGTGTGTGAGTGTGTGTGAGCTTTCCTCCCTTGCCTCTCAGGTTTGATGCGAGGTGGGAAAAGCTGCAGGCTAAGATGGAAGAATTACCTCAGGCCTAATATAAAACGTGGGGAGATGTCCAAAGAGGAAGAGGATCTAATTATCCGTATGCACAAACTTTTAGGCAACAGGTCAGTTTGGTATTGCTTTAACCTCTCAAAAGCTTAATCCATACTTACAGTAAAGAGAGACAACTTGCTGAATGTTTGAATATTTTCAACGTGTTACTTCTTGAATCAGATGGTCATTGATTGCTGGTCGGCTTCCTGGTCGAACTGATAACGAGGTGAAGAACTACTGGAATACCCATTTGAACAAGAATGGCCTGCAAGATAAAAGAAAAGCTAATGACTCAAACAGCCACAAGAAAAATGACGACGACAACGACGATGATGTGAATAATAAGAAGCAGAAGAAAGTTATCAATCAGACTGGTTATCCTCAGCCACCAATATGCATTGACAACGGGATAAATTTGGCTCATGATACACAGAGAAGAAACCAGGAAGAGAAAAGAGAAGTTACAGAACCTTGGAATATGGATGACATAACAAGTTCTCATTATAATATAAACTCTCCAATAGTACCTGCAAATGATGCGACATTTAATTTTGACGACGAGCCTTACTTTGACCACCTCGATCCCTTCTTCCTGTTAGAAGCATTTGGATGCAGTAGTGTTCATGCATCACTGGATAACATGTAACTCATAATTCTCTAGGATTTGAGAAACCCCCCGTTCAGGTAGAGGCTTTTATTGTCAAAATCCTTATTCTTTTCAACCCAGTATGATAGTAAGTTGCGCCACCTCTTTTAACATTCAGAACCAAGCTTTAAATTCCACGCAATCTTTTCCTGGACTTTTTGAGCTACTTGTCACTACACTTGGCTACCTAGCAATCTGAACTGCACTTTCAAAAAGCATTTGCTAACAGCAATTTGGAGTCCACACAATTTTACAGCACGGAAGTTGAACACAATCTTCATATTCTAGATATCATTATTTCCAATATAAGTATAAAACAAGGAAAGTGGTAAAATGTTGGGGAACACAGGACGACTTATCCAGTTTAGGTAAAATGCTTTGGTGCATTTCCTTGTGAAAGTTGAATGAACAATAATATGAAAGCCTGCCCATCAGATATCATGGAACATTTATATAATATGATAGATTAATACCACCGTAAATTTTAAAATCCACACTTTCCTACAAAATTAAGCTATTTAACAGATATGCAATTCTCTGTTTTCCAATATATTGGACTACCAGGGCTTGTTAAGCAACAAGGAACGGAATGAATATCTCTACAGGACTTCATCTTGTTGAATGTAATATGAACCATCATCAAGAGGCAATGAGGGAGGGGTTCCAGGAGGGATGTTAGCAGCACCATTCTCTCCAGCACATACACATAAAGCCTCTGCATCCCTGATGGCGGCATCAAGGTCAATGTGACCACTCAATTCATTGATAAACTTCAAGAGTGTGTCGAAGTCCATTTGCTCCCCCATTATCTTGTTACGGTAGCGCTTCAAGATTGCAACACATATGTACAGATGCAGGTGCTCAGACAGATAATGAGTCCACAATACCTCCCATAGATGCATGACCTTTTCGTATTCAAATTCTCTGTATGTGAACGAGGAACATATTAGCAAGATAATTAAGAGAAAGAACACACGAGAAACTAATTCACTACCAATAGAAGTGATTTCCCATAAAATGAGATATAGAACTATTAAAAGGATAATACAACACCTGCACATGGTACAACTCAAAGAAATTTTAGAAGTATGAAATTAGCCCATCATACAAAGTGGTGGCTTGGCCTTCCCTAAGAAGGATGCCAGCTAAATTACGAGCAGAGAATTTGTGGCATGAGATTCAGTTAAATCTGATAAATCGAATATATTTAAGATGCTGACATTCAGGGGTAGTTTAATCAAGTAAGAATAGGCCCTGTCCGTTTCCATTCTATGAATTGCCAACAGAATGTTGCCGACCCAAAACAAAACTCCTTAGGGGTCTGGAATCAATCTCTTATTACAAATACCATTATGCTCTTTGATCAAATATTTTCAAATTCTTCAAACGAAGAATGGAGAATAGGGAAGAAACTTTTTAACAAAATTGTTGTCAAACTTGGTTTTCTAAGTACTACTGGGACAATTTTTTTAACCAAACTATGCAATCACTTCTTGGCACGTCAGGCAGGATGGCCTGTTAGGGCCAACTAAAAAGATGCTGGACAGATACTAATGGCAGGCAAACAACAAATGCGAGGATAGTGGAGAAATAACTGTACAATGATTTAGAAAGAATCTGATCCGGGTGAGAATATAACCAAGTTTCCCGTCTAAAAAGGAAAAATAAAAAAGTAAACATAGGTGATATGAGCCTGACCTTTTGAACTGTATGAGAACCCAGCGGAAGCAAAAGAAATAATTCAAGCAATCATGCTGGCTGAAGTAGTTATGCAATGGGGTATCTAACAACTCTACCAGCTGCCAAAGACATAGCAGAAGGAATTAGGAAAGAAAATGACACAATTTAAACATATCGTTGCATTGTAAAAAAAAAAACTATTAAGTAAAGTCAAATATTCGTATATAAAATTTTAAAATAAATAATGAACAATGAATAAATTATGTAATGCAGCTTTATTCAGAAGATGAAATGCTAATGCTAGATAAAAAAGAGAAGATTCTTATGCTTATTTTATTGTTTTTCTATTTCATTTACAACAACATGACCAACTATTGAGCAATAAAAAATCTCATAAAGACTAAAAACTCAATGTGTTTTTACAGAAACCAAGAAAGTTCCAATAAAATAAAATAAAAAGTAATGAAAAGGGAGATCCAGATAAGAGAAGGAAATCTCAAACAAGAAGATTAAAAGAGCTCTTCCAATTGACATAAACATTTGACAACGTATAAAAAACAAAAGGAGGGCATCAAAACATACACCAAGGGCTACACAACACATCGTGTTGTCTCAACTTCCTTTATCGACCGCAAATAAAATCTCATGCACATTTCTCCACTAAAACCAAGTACCAACAGGAAACCGTTTACTTAAAATTTAAATAATAAATAAAAATCAAGAAACTTTATTTATTTGTTTGTTTTGATTGAAACCAAGCAACTTTATTGTCGCAATATTTTTCCTAACCATTATATATAGACAGCGTGAATGCAATTTGCATGCGCATGCAATGAAGTACACGTAGGGGGAGGTGGGAACCTTGGAAATTGCAAAAAGTTGACAATGCATGCCAGTCTGATCACGATTAAAATTTGGTCCAAGGCGTTCCATTAGAGCAACAAAACACCAAAATGACTCCGACTCATCACCCAGAACGAACAATATTGGTGAAAGAAAATCACTCATACCCTGTAAATTATCACGGTAAAATCAGCAACAGTTCAAAGTAGTTGAACCAATGGAATTTGATCTGTGGCCACTTGATTTAACAAAAGCTTTGGACATGGAAATTGACAAAGAGTACTACAGAATAATTCGCCAAAGCAATTTTAATACATGAAAAAAGGTGCAAAAAAAAAAAAAAACACAACTAAATCCATCTTCCTGGTGTATAGAAAATGAAGAAAAATCTCTTCAAATGTCAATAAATAAAATGATATAACTTCCATATATTACAATTTGATGATCGTTGTTAAATGGACAACATAAACAAGTCTTACATATTAATTCCAGGATAAACGATTCAAAATAAAATATACAAAGGTTGAATAGGTCCATTTGAAAAGTCTGATAGAACTTTTGCATACCAAAGAACAATAACCACTTTTGGGTACTATGAGAAGAGTCTTAAACCAAGATAACCTTGTTGTAAGATCCCATTTTATTTTCCAGTTAACAAAAACACAATGTATTCCAAGTATAATTAAAAACCCAGTTAAAAGACATGGAAGGTAGAAATTTAGAACATCAAGGTTTGTGAAATTTATTTGAATTCTGTCGAGTACTTTCCATTTCAAGGTTCCTAAGAATTCCAGTGCATGAAATCCAGAAGTTACCATTTCCACTGTTTCATTCTTCTCTTTATATTTGATCTAGTTCCTAAGACGATGCAACTGTTTGACTTTATAACTTACACCTCCATCTAGGAAGTTTAATTCTATATTGCACACATGTACTTGCGACAATGCCAATGCCCTTAGACAGGACTATTAATAAATAATACGTCCTCTAGCTCTCTAACCGGCTTAAGAAAATCAGCTCTAAGAAATGCGAAATAACAGCATAAAGAAGCCTGCAAACAATAGCAGCCAACAAGAGAAAGCAACAAAAACAAGCTCACTCCAACACCAGCTCTAACCTACTTTTGCATATGATATAATAACCTTTCCTCTACATTTTATCAGAATTCTCGGAACTAGGTATCAGAATAGTCTTAGTCTCCTAGACATCACATAGTACATATTTATAGCCACATAGATGATAGAATTTAGGAAGCACCTAAACTTCAAAAATCCTAGTTACATCCTTGCCAACATTTAGAATTCAGACCTAGATCTAACCACTTCATATGCAGACATATTACAGTTAGGCAGCACAAGCAATGTGAACTTGAAATTTAACTCTTCCTTAAACCCTAGTAGTTTGGTTCAAGGAAAAGGTAAGTTCAAGCACAAGTAATGTCCTTGATGCCTGAACTATAACTATAAGGCAAAGGGAAAAAGAAATACCTGACAGTATCCAAGATCGAAATTATAAAATGAGTAGGTCAATAAAATATCGTGAAGAAGCTTCACATTAGGGTTTTCATCCCCATCAAAGAAAGAAAGTGATCGGTCTGTCCTCACCTTGGGAAAAGATTAAAAAGAAATACTTAGAAATGGAAAAAATCAAATTTAATTAATAACCAATTAAGAAAAACAAAGTATATCAATTTAATACACCTACCACATCTTTTTCAATAAGGCCTTTCCTCTCTTTAAATTTTGTAAATCTTTTTGCCTGCTCCGGGGAAATACTCTGCAAGAAAAAAAAAATATAGTACAGATATACACTTCACTTAGCGGGTCAAGGGAGAAAGGATAATTTCTTTATTTACAAAGCTACGCCTAGTAGAATGAATTCGTCAAGTTAACCTACAGAGAATGCCATGGAACAAAGGTCCCACAACAAAAAAATTTGAAAAAGATTCAATTATATTTTGTGATTGATGGACTAATCACTAGGATATCTTGAATGAAGTATACAATATAGACCGTCGTTTTTTTTTTTTTTTTTTTTTGAAT